GGTGCCTCTTCGGAAGACTATGATCTCTCAGCTGTAAGGCTTCATACCACTTCTTAGCTCTACTTTCTTATAAATGAGATGTCAGTCTTATATACTTCTTAGAATTCAATACAATGAAAGAATTGCCTACCACACTGTCAGGGACATTTTCACGATTCAAAAAGTTTCACTTGGGGGGCTGGGAAGGTAGCTCAGTGGCAGAGTGCTTGCCTTGCATGCATGAGGCCCTGGGTTCGATTCCTCAGCACCACATAAGCAAAAAGAAAAAATCTGGAAGTGGTGTTGTGGCTCTAGTGGTAGAGGACTAGCCTTGAGCTAAAGAGCTGAGGAACAGCTCCCAGGCCCAGAGTTCAGGCCCCACAACTGGACCTCCCCCCCCCCAAAAAAGTTTCACTTGGGCTGGGAAGGTGACTCAGTGGTAGAGTGCTTGCCTTGCATGCTTGAGGCCCTGGGTTCGATTCCTCAGCACCACATAAGCAGAAAAAAAAACCGGAAGTGGCACCGTGGCTCAAGTGGTAGAGTGCTAGCCTTGAGCTGAAGAGCTGAGGGACAGCGCCCAGGCCCAGAGTTTAGGCCCCACTACCGGACCCCCCCCCCCGCAAAAAAAAAAGTTTCACTTGAGCAATATAAAAATAAAAATAATATAGTTATCATTTTGTGAGTATCAAACCACTGCAAAAGTTTGGTTTATTTACTTGTCAAAATACCAGTTTCAGAGAAGCAAGTTACAGGTTCCTGACCTGTCCGTGTCATAGCTGGGAACTGGTTTAGGGGTCCTCTGATCAGCCAGAGAGATACTTGTACTTGGCAAACTTCTTTTGCTTTTAAAATTAAAAAGAAAATTGAACTGGGGGAGGGTGGGGGCGTGGAGGGGAATGTAGTTGTGGAGGTAGGAGGGAAGGGATGGTAGGGGAAAAACGAAGGAGGCAACAATGCTTGATAAGAAATGTACTCCTTGGGCTGGGAAGGTGGCTCAGTGGTAGAGCGCTTGCCTTGCATGCATGAGGCCCTGGGTTCGATTCCTCAGCACCACATAAGCAAAAAGAAAAAATCCGGAAGTGGTGCTGTGGCTCAAGTGGTAGAGCGCTAGCCTTGAGCTGAAGAGCTGAGGGACAGTGCCCAGGCCCAGAGTTCAGGCTCCACAGCCGGACCCAAAAAAAAAAAGTTTTGGAGGCTGGGAATATGGCTTAGTGGTACAGTACTTGTCTAGCATGCATGAGGCCCTGGGTTCAATTCCTCAGTACCACATAAATAGAGAAAGTTAGAAGTGGCACGATGACCCAAGGGATAGAGTGCAAAAAGCTCAGGGACAGTCCCAGGATTCACACGCGCACACACACACACACAAACCAAATTTATTAGGGATATGTTAAATGTAGGCACAGACACTGTGAAATCCTATAACATATAACCCAGGAGTTCTTAGAAGCATAGATAGTCTAGGTTTTCAGGTTGCCTTGATTATAATCTCTGTTGTATAACTTTGACAAATGACTTAACTTCTCTGTGCCTAGTTCTTTCTCTCTCTCTCTTTTTTTTTTTCCAGTTCTGGAGCTTGAACTCAGGGCCTGGGCACTGTCCCAGAGCCTCTCTGTGTTCAAGGCTAGCACTCTACCACCAGCCACAGAGCCACTTCCAGCTTTTTCTGTTTATGTGGTACTGAGGAATCTAACCTAGGGCTTCATACATACTAGGCAAGCACTCTACCACTAAGCCACATTCCCAGCCCTGCCTAGTTCTCTTATCCAGAAAAACCTGTTAAGGGTTGCTGTAAGGGTTCAATGAGTTACTTTGTAAGAAGCGTCTGAGGGCTGGGGGTGTGGCTCAGTGGTAGAGTGCTTGCCTAGCATGCATGAAGCCCTGGGTTCATGAAGTCATCAGTACCACATACACAGAAAAGGCTGGAAGTGGCACTGTGGCTCAAGTGGTAGACTGCTAGCCTTGAGCAAAAGAAGCTCAGGGACAGTGCCCAGGCTCTGAGTTCAAGCTCCAGGACTAACAAAAAAAAAAAGTGTCTTGAGATGGGCTGCTGGTGGCTCACACCTATAATCCTAGCTACTCAGGAATCTGAGATCTGAAGGTTGTTTGAAGCCAACCCAGGTAGGAAAGTCTATGAAACTCTTATCTCTACCAAATAGATGGAAGTAGGGGTGTGCCTCAAGTAATAGAGCACCGACTGGTCTTGAGCAAAAAAAATCTAAGGAACAATGCTCAGGCCCTGAGTTTAAGTCCTACTACAGGCACAAAAAAAAAAAAAAAAAGCAAAGGAAAGAGAGTAAGAGAGTAACAGAAAGAGAAAGAAGAAGGAAGGAAGGAAGGAAGGAAGGAAGAGAAAGGGAAAGGGAACGGAAAGGGAAAGGGAAAGAAAAGGAAGGAGGAGTTAGGGAGGTGGGGGGGAAGAGATGGTAGGAAATGTACTTATTACCTTATTCATGTAACTGTAACCCCCTCTGTACAGTATCTTTACAATAAAAAAAATATATGAAAAGAAAGAAAGAAAGAAAAGCTGGGTGCTGGTGGCTCACACCTGTAATCCTAGCTACTTAGGAGACTGAGATCTAAGGATCATGGTTCAAAGCCAGCTCGGGCAGAAAAGTCTGTGAGACTCTTATCTCCAATAAACCACTCAGAAACTGGAAGTGGCCCTTGGCTCAAATGGTAGAGTGCTCACCTTGAGCTGAAGAGCTGAGGGACCTAGGCCCAGAGTTCAAGCCCCACAACCGACCAAAAAAAAAGAAAGAAGAAAGGAAAAGTGGAAGGAAGGAAGGAAGGAAGGAAGGAAGGAAGGAAGGAAGGAAGGAAGGAAGGAAAACCAGGCAAGCAGGCAGACAAGCAAATTTAAAGACTAGCTGATTCAGGTGTGGTAGTATGTGCACGTGTTCCCTGCCCACAGGAGCTGAGACAGGAGGATCACCAGGTCTCCAGGCTGTGGTCAGTCTGGCCTAGCAAGATCTTGTCACACCACACACACACACACACACACGCAGGAGAGAATCCACACAAGGGAATACTACTGGGCTTCTCAGACAATGGTATTTCAGTAATGTCAAGGCACCTTGTGATTGCCACATGCCAACTTGGTCAACTATCTTCCTAGGCCCCACTGACCAAATAAATTTCTCAACAATAAATTGGCTTTCACTACAAATTTGATCAGTTGCTCATGACTGTCTCTCTGGCTGGCAGACTCACCATCAGGGCCCTGGCGGGCAGCAGCATGCAGAGCAGTGTCCCCATGGCGGTCCTGGTGGGCAGGGTCAGCCCCGAGGCGAAGCAGCAGGCACAGGGCAGGGGCATCATGGCGGGCACAGGCCCGGTGCAGTGGTGGGGGCTGCCCAGCATCCACATCAAGGCCTGGGTGTCGCTGGAGGAGGGCCTGGGCGCGCACCAGCCGTCCTGCAGACAAGTAACGGCGGAAGCGACGCTCTCGGCGTTGGCGGCGGGATGCGGAGGCCATGGAACTCTTGGGCTGAGGAAAAAGGAAAAAGTAAAGGCTGCAATCAGGGCAGATTTTGGCTTGCCCCTCCCGCTCCATTTCAGACATTCCTTCCTGTCTCTCAAATATCTCCTTGTTTCTTCTCACATCTCTAGCAAAGAGGAGGCCTAAACCTCATCCCTGACCAGATGATAGGTCTGAGAGAAAAATTTGAGGGGGGCTGGGGCACATATTAATTTTTTATGTAAATTTTGATTGCAAAGATATGTAAGTTACTTAAAAGCTCAAGAGCCCAGGTACATTTTTAAAAATAAACTTTGGGGAGAGGGAGAAAAAAAGAATAGGGCCTGGTGGGGAAATTTTTAACCAGCCAGAATCTGAACTTAAGTCACAGTTTCAAATAATGATCTAGAAATTTAATATAATGTACCCGGCAGACAGATGTAGAGGCTTCTCCCTCTAAGACCTGGGGGGAGGGGTTACTCATCAGACCTGTCCCCCGCCCCCCAAGTGCCCCCAGAGCCGTAGGCCAGAAGCCTGTGTTTAAGACGCTCCGAGAAGGGAGGCGGGAAGGGCGGAGATACTCCAGGTTGGCGGAAATGACGCAAGCGGAGACGCAAGTTTGGGGCGGAAATAAGCTTTGAAGCGCAAGGGATATCACTCATCCCCGACCGGGTGGTTTCTTCGTTAGGGCTCCGGCGGGGAAACTAGGGAATTTATGACAAAGGGTCCACCTGAAACCGGAAGATGGGATGAGATGCCAGGGCAGGGAGAAAGGAGGGTTGCCCCAGCTTCCCCCAACTGGGGCGCACAGAGTGGAAGGCGCAGTGATTGGTGGAAAGATGAAAAAATAGAGGAAAACTGCAGAGATAAAAACAGGATAAAAATCACTGTGGAAGTGAAAAACCCAACCACAATGAAGGCAAATAGGGATAGATTAAGACACACACACACACACACACACACACACACACACACACACACGAAAAGACATTAAGAGGGCTGGTGGTGTGGCTCAAATAGAAGAGCACTTGCCCAGCAAGCTCAAGGCCCGTTATTGAAGCCCTAGTACCGCCAAAATCAAATAAAATATTAAGACAACTGCAAGAAGAAACTTGGACTGGGGAAATGTAGAAGAAGATGGAGGCAGAAAAGCGACTTGGGAGAATTAAGCCTAACTCGTGGTAGGATAGTCTTCTCACCCCATTCTTTGGCTCTGTGCCTCCTTGAGGACCACCATTCCAGCTCTCCTCCCACTCAAATATTCCTCCCCTTTCTGTCCCAACCCCATCTTTAGACCTTAGTGGATGGGAAGGCCCTGTAACAGTCCGAAATTTGCTATCAGCTCAGGGCCCGGTCTCTGCTGCTCCCAGGTGGCCCTTTTGGGTACTGCTTGAATGAGGACCAGTCATCAGTGGAGGATTAGATTGGGGGAGACACTGGGTGCAGGAGGCTGAGTGAAAAGTGGAGCACTAAGACCCAGGAGTGGTGGAGGACTGCATCAACGAGCTGGAGGAGAACTAGGCGATTGGAGGTGGGAGCCATCTGGTACCTCGGTTGCCTTCAAAACAGCGTCATTCCTAGCGACAGAAATGGCCAGTCAGTCCCAGGGTATCCAGCAGCTATTACAAGCTGAGAAGAGGGCAGCTGAAAAGGTGGCAGATGCCAGAAAGAGTGAGTCTCCCCTTTTCTCTCTTCAGAGTCTGGAAAGAAAATTAGGGGTGAGGGATTAACAAATATTTGAGTCTTTTGGAAAATCCAAGGCTGGTGAAGAGACCTGGGGGCTGGAGTATGGAATAGTAGAGAAAAAATGGAGAGGTGTTAGACTCTAGTATTTTGCTACCTAAGGGAAGGCTTAGTAACTTTCACATTTTTGTGGGGGATCCATTCCCACCCGTTCTTTCTTCTGCCTCCAGGAAAAGCTCGAAGACTGAAGCAGGCTAAGGAGGAGGCACAGATGGAGGTAGAACAATACCGTAGAGAGCGGGAGCAGGAATTCCAGAGCAAGCAGCAGGCGGTGAGTTGAAGGGGAATTGAGATGGGATCCATCCGGTGCAAATTGGTGAGTACATCTAGTGAGATGAGTGCAGGTGACTCACCAGGAAACAGTGTTGGCAGGAGGCTGAGAAGACCCTGGTAAGAACCACAGCATTGATAAAGCCTTGACATGATATGTAACAGAGTCTAGGAGGTATTTTTTTAAATGCTAGAAGTGGGAGTTTGAACTGAGGGCCCAATGCTGTCCTTTGCCTTTTTCTCTCAAAGCTAGTGGTCTACTACTTGAACCACGGCTCCACTTCTGGCTTTTTGCTGATTAATTGGAGATGTGTCTCATAAACTTTCCTATCTGAGCTGACTTCAAAACAGGATCTTCAGATCTCAGACTCTTGAATCGCTAGAATGACAGGCATGAGCCATACTTGCCAAACTAGAGTCTGGGAGTTTTTGTTTTGTTTTGCTAGTCATGCGGCCTGAACTCTGGGCCTGGGCACTGTCTCTCAGCTCTTCAGCTCAAGGCACGTGCTCTACCACTTGAGACTCAGCCCCACTTCCGGCTTTTTCTGCTTATGTGGTGCTGAGGAATCGAACCCAGGGCTTCATGCATGCAAGGCAAGCACCGTACCACTGAACCACCTTCCCAGCCCTGGGAGGTTTTTTTTTTTTTTAAGGATATTTACACCTTAGGGAGAAGCAACCACCACAGTCTTTGTGGCATAATATGATAGTATTTAGGGTAGAGGGAAGAGTTTTATAGGTGGGAAGATGGTGGGGATTGTTTTAAATTTCTTACTGTTATTATAAAGGTAATATAGAAGTGGGTTAGAGTTTGATGGTGGGGATTTTATAGTCTTAGGATAATCCCTCATTTTAGGTGTTAGAGAGTAAGGGGTTGTGTTTATCCCTTTCATATCTGGGTATTTCTGTGGGATGGGTATGGTTTTAGAAAGGCTTCTCTTTTTGGTCTTATACAGGATCTTTCTCTTCACATGCTTGGACCTTTCTTTCTCTATTTCTGCTCCTCTGCCCCTTCCCTTTTCCCTACTCCTCAGGCCATGGGATCCCAAGGGAACCTGTCTGCTGAAGTGGAGCAGGCTACAAGGCGCCAGGTACAGGGCATGCAGAGCTCCCAGCAGAGAAACCGGGAGCGTGTCCTGGCCCAGCTTCTTGGCATGGTCTGTGATGTCAGGCCCCAGGTCCACCCCAACTACCGGATCACCGCCTAAGAGCTTTGCCTAGGACCCTTTATAAGGTCTCACTCCTCCTGACAGTCCTTTCCTCAAAGAAATGTCCCAAATAAATATCACTTCCCTTGTCTAGCATGCACAAAGCCTTGGATTCAATCCCCAGCACCGTACCAAAAAGAAAAAAAATAATATTTCACCATAATTCTTTCTGGAAATTCTAGGGGGCAGGATCTAATATTCTCCTTTGAGACTTGTAAATAACCTTCTCAAACATGAATCTTTGTGTTCTATAACACTAAGATCTTGTAAATGCCCAAGTCATCCTCACCTAACCCTTCTGTGTAATTTGGAATATAAGGGAAGTAATAAATGTAGAAAATACCCTGACTTTGGAGCCTAGCATATTTGGGTTCCTATCCAAATCCTGTCCCATTCTGACTGTGCAACTGGGACAGATGACTTAACCTGGAAGCCACAATGTCTTCCTTTGTAAAACTGGAATAGTAACAATAACAACAACAACAACAACAATGCCTACCTTGTGAGGTTTCTGCGATGATTAGGAATCATTAAGAGAATATCATGGTTCCTTGTAGGTACTAGTTATGATATAACAAATGGACCCCAAGATATTGTTACCACTTGCTGCTTACCTGTGAAATGCTAAATATTTCTGCTTCCTGATGTTTGTTAGTGGCTCTCTAATTCCACTCATTCTGTGATCCTGGTACTTCTCTAAAGAATGTATTCTTACCATCTTGCTTTCCCCAGAGACCTTAAGATCCCTGAAAAGATGAAAGGAGAGTCTCATTTAACTTCAGTATTTGGTTCCAGGTAGACACAGCATCTCAGGATCTTTTTGTCTCTCTTAGAATGTCCTTTCTCTTTATTGGCTATACTTCCTTTTTCTATTTCCCCAAAGACTCAACAGATGTTTACTGATTCCTGAGATCTAAAATGATGTGGTATACCCTATATGCATGGCCTTCCTTTCTATATCCTTAATGCCTTGCTTTCCCTTTGTAACAATGAAAATGTCAATAAAATAACTATGGACAAATGAGTTGGTGAGTTAAAACAGCCGCCTTTTGTGTCATCATTTCTCATTGCAGTCATTATCTTGTTCCACATTTACATATTCTCCAGATACCTCAAAAGCCTGTCCTTTGAAACTTGTTGGAGAAGCAAAAGCAAATAGTACTCTATTGTTTCTCTCAAATGAGAAATATATAGTTCCTCTTTTGGAAACCTGAGGAGTACAGACAGCAGCTGTAAGAGGAAAGCTAGTGTGTAGAACCACTCTTTTGTACCATTATCTTGTTTTGTTTGGGGGCTTTACATTATGTTTACATGTATCCCCTTATGTAGCCTCTGCAAAGACAGGGTCATTCATTGTGTCTCCAGATCCTAGGATAGCATTTGGCACAGGTTAGAGAACTGGTAAACACTGTAGAATAAGTTAAATGACACTTAAGGCTGGGAAAATTGCTCTTCTATGGTATGTTCCTTTATTTTGGTCAGTCCTGGGCCATGAACTCTGGGCCTGGGCGTTGTCCCTGCGCTCTTCTGCTCAAGGAGAGCGCTCTACTGCTTGAGCCACAGAACCACTTCTGGTTTTCTAGTGGTTTATTGGAGATAAGAGTCTTACGGACTTTCCTGCCTGGGCTGGCTTTGAACCGAGATCCTCAGATCTCAACCTCCTGAGTAGCTAAGATTACAGGCTTGAGCCACTGGCACCTGGCTGGATACATTCCTTTTTTTTTTTTTTGGGTCCAGTCGTGAGGCCTGAACTCTGGGCTTGGGCGCTGTCCCTCAGCTCTTCAGCTCAAGGCTAGCACTCTACCACTTGAGCCACAGCACCACTTCCGGCTTTTTTCTTTTTGCTTATGTGGTGCTGAGGAATCGAACCCAGGGCCTCACACATGCAAGGCAAGCGCTCTACCACTGAGCCACCTTCCCAGCTCTGGATACATACCTTGAATCTGTTATTTTTCTTCTTTCTTTCTCCCTTCCTGCCTTCCTTCCTTCCTTTCTTTCTTTGTACCAGTGTCTGGGACACTGTCCCTGAGCTTTGTGCTTAAGGCTAGTTCCCTACTACTTGAGCCACAGCCCCACTCTGGCTTTTTGGTTCTTAGTTGGAGACAAGTCTCATACACTTTCCTACCCAGGCTGACTTTAAACTGTGATTTTGAGTAGCTAGGATTACAGGCATGAGCCACTGGTGACAGTAGATCAGTTACTTTTCTTTACTACAGAAGGCAAGCTTGCTTTTCAGACTGATTAATGAGATTGAAGAGAGAGGCAAGATACAAAGATAATTAGATGTTGACAACCTGGCTGTCACTGTTTGCTCTGGATATGTTTTATTTTTCTAAGTGTGTCTGCTTATCTATAAAATATAAATGAAAGGTTATGGGTGGGATTGGGAAAGATAGGGGAGCATCATGGAAGGGGTGACATAGATCAAAATGTATTATAAACTGATTCCTTGAACTGAAACCCAAAGATTTAAAAAAAAAATACAAAGCCGGGTGCCAGTGGCTCACACCTGTAATCCTAGCTACTGAGGAGGCTGAGATCTGAGGATTGTGGTTCAAAGACAGCCCGAGCAGAAAAGTCTGTGAGACTCTTATCTCCAATTAACTACCAGAAAACCAGAAGTGGTGCTGTGGCTCAAGCTGTGGAGGGCTCGCTTTGAGTTGAAGAGTGAGCAGGGATAGCACCCAAGCCCAGAGTTCAAGCCCCATGACCGACAAAAAAAAAAAAAAAAAAAAAAATATATATATATATATATATATATATATATATATGAATGGTACCTTCTTAGTGTTAAATGGCTAAGTGTGCTAATAAGAAGGCATTAAACACTTGCCACTTTAAAACAAGCAATATGTAAAGAAAATGCAAATAAAAACAACATTGACATACCACCTTACCCTAATCAGAATGGCTCACATCCTAAAGTCAGCCAACAACAAATGCTGGAGGGGATGCGGAGAAAGACGAACCCTCCTGCATTGTTGGTGGGAATGTATACTAATAACAACCACTTTGGAAAACAGTCTGGAGATACCTCAGAAAGCTAAATGTAGACCTCCCCTATGACCCAGCCATACCACTCCTAGGCATCTACCCTGAGCAACAGGAACCAATATACAAAGACACATGCACCTCCATGTTTATTACAGCACTGTTCACAATAGCAAAGATTTGGAAACAACCCAGATGCCTCACTACTGAGTGGATCCAAAAATTGTGGCACCTATATACAATGGAATATTATACAGCCATTAGAAAGGACAAAATAATGGCATTTGCAGGGAAATGGATAGAACTAGAGCAGATTATTTTGAGTGAAGTAAGCCAAAAACAAAGAGACAAACGGCACATGGTCTCCCTGATATGTGGATGCTAAAGCCAAAATACAAGAAGATATGGCAAAGAAATAGGACTCAAGAAACAAAGGACAGGGGCTGGGAAGGTGGCTCAGTGGTAGAGCGCTTGCCTTGCATACGTGAGACCCTGGGTTCGATTCCTCAGCACCACATAAGCAAAAAGAAAAAAGCTGGAAGTGGCACTGTGGCTCAAGTGGTAGAGCGCTAGCCTTGAGCTGAAGAGCTGAGGGACAGCACCCAGGCCCAGAGTTCAGGCCCCACAACCGAAACAAAAGACAACCACCCATTTTGTTGTATCATTGCTAAATGACTCCATGTTCTTGACCATATATATGGTAGATATATGCACGTAACAGAGGGAAGCCAGGAGGAGAAACAGAATAAGTGGGAACAGCCTACATTAAAAAAAAAGGAAAGAAATGGAAACATCACCTGATGTGGAAAAAATAACTTGTATTGTCAAAGCTCATAGAATTCACAAACTGGGGGGGGAGGGGGGAGGCTGGGAAGGGATGTGAAGGGTAAACAAAGGAGGAGGCTGCAATGCTTGGTAAGAAATGTACCCATTATCCTGCCCATGTAATTGTAACTCCTCTGTACAGCATGTTCACAAATAAAATAAAATTAAAAAAAAAAAGAATTCACAAACTGTATAGACCATAATAATGACAATTTGCCTTGTGAAAGTTAAAATATGTTTGTGGCTATTCCACAATACTGTAAAATATGTGAAATTTATGTGATCACCTAATCTCAATTAAAGAAAAAAAGTGAGAGAAGGGTTGGGTTAAGAGAGATGGGTGACAATGTTGTCAGATACTTTGTACTCATATACTGTTTTGTAGAATGGGAACTTCTTTGTACAACTACTTAAAGATAATTATATGTGTGTGTGTGTGTGTGTGTGTGTGTGTGTGTGTGTGTGAGACAGTGAAAGGTTAAAAAAATAAAATAAGCAACAAAACATCACATCCAGCTTCCACAGCAGCCCCAAAACAATGTTTCATTCAGGGTGGGAAACAAAACAAAACAAAAACCCAAGCAGAAACAATGAGGTGGTTGGAATGGGATTAAGAACATTTAAAGCCCATTAATACTGTTAGGAAAGATCAAGCGGAGGAAAGGAGAGAAAGAAGGCAGAGACCTCAACAGACCAGAATAGGTTTTAATCATTGCTGCAGAGGGACTCCATGTAACTGGGAGCTGGGTCAGAGAAACGAGGGGGAGGGGGAGGTTTTTACACATTTTGAGTGTGCAGTTTCTTTTGAATGTCTTTGTGGTTGTGACAGATGGTGCACTTTCAGATAAGGTCGAGGGTGCAATTTTGCTAGGAATAACTCAAGGACAGGGATAAGATTGTGGGAGATTTTTCAGGCAGGGGGGAGGAATCAATGGGCTAAGGGAGCAGCATTAAGTTATGAGAACACAGCGGATTGCCATCAAATACTATTTGTAGAAAGTTGTGTAGCTCTGGAGTCCTACCATTTATTTTTGAAACTTGGAGATGAACCTAGACCCCTGTTTCTACTCTAGGGATTCAGAACACTTTTCTGACAACCCTGACCCACCAACCCAAGAACCCAAGCTATATGGGCCAACGACATTTTGGGCAATTACTGCCCACAGTCGCCATCTCTGGGAAAAGGGAGAGGCAAGACTCCTGAACACAGTTCACTACAGATCTCAGAGCTCTGCTTCTTCCCTCCTTTCTGCAGAGCAAGATTTAACTTAGAACAAGCCGGTTAGACCAGAGGTCACCTTGACTACCGCGCCAAGGACCCCGTGGGAACGCGCAGGCTCCCCCCGCCCCCTCGCGCTTCTTTTTCGCGCGTTCACGGAGAGCTGTCTAGAGAGAAAACCTGAGTGGCGAAAACCTAAACGATGACGTAAAGATCATGGAGAAAAGTATAAAGGTGAAGGAAGATAAGAGTAGGAAACAACGTTACTTTTATGTCTTACTGACAGTAGCGGAAGAGTTAGAAGTGGCTTGGTTTTCTTTTTCCTGACTGGCATTCTCCAAAGGCAACCCCGGAGCGCGCGGAACTATAGAACTGCTGAAGGTCCTTCTTCCCGCACCCTGCGCCTGCGCTCTGACTTCCAAGAAGGCGGGAGGACGGGGGATAGAGGAAAGCCTGGAACCGGAAGTGGAGGAAGGTTCTCTCTTTCGATCGAGTTGCCGCCGCCATACACGCTCGCCCTGCAAAGGTAAGCTTTGGCCTTCATTAGAATCCGCCTCCATCTGCTCTTCTCCCAGGCCACCCTGCTATAAAGGTTCCCGATACCTCTTCCACAGTCGATGGTCTGGTTGCTAAGGCCTAGTTGGGTTGTTATTTCCACTGATTTCACTCTTTGCGAGAGCAAAAGCTTTTGGGGTGAGGTAGGGAGGGAAAGGGGGGCCCAATCCAAGATGGTGGCTCGGGCGCCATTGTGTTCCCTTTGCTCCCTATTTCTTCATTGGGTCCCTCGGCTACCTGAGGTCCCTGCGACCTCGAGAGGCGGTGCTAGACGTCCCCTAGTCTTTGGCATTTGTGGAGGGCGGGGCTTTTCTCGCCTTCACTCTTGGCCTTGTCTCGGCGGGTGATGGGATAGAGTTTGCATTTGGGCGCAGCTGGACAGTTCTCAGATGGACTTTGCCGGCATTTGGAGGGATTTCTCAACGCGTGTGAGTGCTTCTCGGAAAGGTATCTGAGTAGTAGTGAAAGGGTGGCGTTGAGGCCACTTGGTAAACATTGTTAAGCTGAAGCGGGGGTACCGAAGGAAGAAGGGGGGGTCTCCTCCTTTCGTGGCTACTAAAATGTATTAATTTTTACAGAGCTGAGGACTAAACCCAGGGCCTCGCCCCAAAGGCAAGCCCGGTATCTCTGAGCTCGTCCCAGCTCGTTTTTGTTTTTTGCTTTTGAGCCATTCTCTTACCCCCAGCTCCTCATTGTTAATTACATGCGACTGTTCAGTTTGTATCTGAAACCCAGGGTCCTTATCTTCTTCATGCTGGCCCTCTAACTCATTTTCCAATCTGGATTACAGACAGGCTTGAACTGCCACACCTGGCACACAGGTGTTTCTTAAAACAGTGGAAGGGTACTGGGGAGTGGGCAGGTAAATAGCAGCCACATGATGTTTCATTGTGAGAAGTGAGCGCTCTGCGCAATGCTGACCATAATCTATCACCCTTGACTGATGGCTGCTTCGTTAGGGATTGATACCTTATAAACCCATCTCCTGTCTGAACTGGTTCCTGCTAGTATGACTAAATCTTTTTTAGGAACCCCATCTCTTGAGACCACTCTTCTCATTTAAAAAATATATATATTTGCTGTTCACTTTTGTCATTTGCATTTCCAGTACAGGAGATATAGTTTAGGGGCAACATGAATAGTGGGGGGCAAAAAGCGTTGGTAAATGTATGCTTGTGACGGGTTAAATTTTTTGGTCTTTTGTCCTACAGCTCTTCGATTGGAAACTAGTATCTGCCCTTTTCCTTTCTCAAGCCCTTCCCCCCTCCCCTGGTTTTCACATTTTCTGGGAGAATTTCTACAGAGACCTCTCCCATTATCCCCTTGCTGGCGTAATAATGGCAGAGAACGATGTGGACAATGAGCTCTTGGACTATGAAGAGGATGAGGTGGAGACCGCAGCTGGGGGAGATGGGGCTGAAGCCCCTGCCAAGAAAGATGTCAAGGGCTCTTATGTTTCCATCCACAGCTCTGGCTTTCGAGACTTCTTGCTCAAGCCAGAGTTGCTCCGAGCCATTGTCGACTGTGGCTTTGAGCATCCATCTGAAGGTACGTTTTCTGTTGAGCATAGACTGCTTATTAGGCACTTTAGGGATATTTTAAAGAGGTGTGTCTGGGTGCTGGGAAGGTGGCTCGGTGGTAGAGCGCTTGCCTTGCATGCCTGAGGCCCTGGGTTCGATTACTCAGCTCCACATAAGCAAAAAGAAAAAAGCCGGAAGTGGCTCTGTGGCTCAAGTGGTAGAGTGGTAGCCTTGAGCTGAAGAGCTGAGGGACAGTGCCCAGGCCCAGAGTTCAGGCCCCACTACTGG